TCATGAATACTATTATAAATGTCTCAATGACTCCATTTTTTCGGCATTTTTCGATTATTTGATTAAGGTTTTTTTTAATAATATTTCCGTCAAATTTCTTTCCCATGAAAAATACAAAAATAATAAGCCTACAGCTTCATAAATATGCGGGCTCTGCTGTGTTAGCCGATTATAATTACCTCAAGGATTAGGTTTTGTCTGCATATTTAGATTGTTTGATTAAGGTTATTTTTTTATCACATTTCCATCAAAATCTTTGTTCACATGAAAGATACGAAAATGGTAAGTCTTAAGCTTCGCAATACGCAGGCTCTTGCTATGTTTAAAGTTTTGTCGACACGTAGACGGGTATTTTCATAAACGAAGGTTTTTACTCCGTTTTGGCCTTACGTCCACAAGTAACGGGCGTTTTCAATGACAAATACGGAGACTTTCGAATACGATAGCATTAAAACTAGAATCCAGGCTACAAACTCTAATGATTTGTGCTTATTCTTGGGTATTTGGGCGATTTAGCGTATTCGTGTGGACGGTAAATACGATTTGAAAACAATACGTGTGGATGTAATTTTTTTCAAGGTCTAAGCCTTATGAAGGCGATTATAATTATCTCAAGGACTCTGTTTTTCAATTGTTTGATCGAGATTTTTTTGAATCATATTTCCGTCAAAATTCTTTTCCGAGGGAAATACCAAAATAGTAAGCCTTGCTTCATAATGCGAGGATTTTAGCAGTGATCATGAAGACGATTATAATTTCCTCAAGGATTAAGTTTTGTGTCTGCATTTTTTGATTGTTTGATTAAGGTTATTGCTTTATCACATTTCCATCAAAATTCTTTCTCAACATGAATGATGTAATATTCTTCTTGCTTGTTTTCACAGTATAATGACAAGTTGAAAATTGCAGAGATAATAGTTGTTAAGACTCATGGCTATAACTTTTCAAGACAGTTATGATTCATAATATTTTTTCCAAACCAAAACTGGCAATCACCTTGAACGTCATTTCACAATCTTAATTGGTGGTGCATGAAATACATTAGGCCTGCAGACAAATGAGGCAAATTACTGTTTTAATGCTTTAATGCCGTCATTCACTCTGAAACGCACGCATGCGGAAGGAACTGTGCAATCCATTAGAAAATTATTGATAACAAAAGAGTCAATATTTTGCATGTAAAAGCACTTACGTCAAAGTCTCAGGCAAGCAAACAGCAAAGTTGTCAGAGGAATAAGGACGAACAGTACAGAGTCATGGCAACGTCGCAGAGCATAACCCCAATTTTGAGGAAGTTGAATTGGAATTCTATTTCAACGTTAGATATGACTTTAGCAAATTTAAGTTGTCATTTTGTTCATTATTTTAGGCCAGTGTGAACACTGTAACTTATGAAATATATGCCCACCAAGCTGTGGACATAAAGTCCACCTCTCTGAGGTGGAGAAGAGGCTTGTGGAGGGTTTTGCCTTTTCAATGCCCTATTTGATTGTAAGTCAAGTAATTCATATGCTTGCTAAATGTTGTATTCATGTTTTATGTAATGTCCATTGTTGTATACTCTAGTTGTTTTGACAAAGAATCAATAGATTTTTAGAAGATTTTTTCCAGTATGTATTTTTATAATTCTTTATTTTTTGAACATTAATACAGTAGCTAGAACCGTCAGTAAGATGGATTTCTTTTTATTTCAGAGTGGTCGTTGCTAGTTTCTTCGAATAAAATGTTTTATTCAATAAAATTTATTTAAGAATATCAACGTCTCATGTTCTAATTTTTTCTTTTTTTCTGTCAAAAATATTTTGCTCCAATCATTGCAAGTGTTCATCATAAGTTCTAGCCCATTTACTATCGGAGTCATGTCTTGTAAACTATCAAAGAAGGATTTCATGACTTGAAGCCGATTTTAATTACCTCAAGGATTAGGTTTTGTCTGCATTTTTTGATTGTTTGATTAACGTTATTTTTTTATCACATTTCCATCAAAACTCTTTCTCCACACGAATGGTGTGATATTCTTCTTGCTTGTTTTCACAGTATAATGACAGGTTGAAAATTGCAGAGGTAATAGTTGTTAAGACTCATAGCTATAATTTTTTAAGACAGTTATGATGCATAATATTTTTTCCGAACCAAAACTGGCAATGACCTTGAACGTCAGTAAGTTGAATTGGAAATCTATTTCAATGTTTCATATCACATTAGCAAATTTAAGTTGTGATGTTGTTTATTATTTTAGGCCAGTGTGAAGAATGCAAGTCGTGGGTAATTTGCCCACAAAGCTGTGGACATTAAGTCCATCTCTCTGAGGTGAAGGAGAGGCTTGTGGAGTGCATCAATGTTCTACTGTATCAATGTTCAAATGATAATTCATTATCTTTTAAACATTGATTCAGTAGAACAGTCAGTACAATTGATTTCTTTATATTTCAGAGTGGTCGTTGCTGGTTTCTTTGAATGAAATGTTTTATTCAATAAAATTTATTTGAGAATATCAACGTCTCATGTTCTAATTTGTTCTTTTTTACTGTCAAAAATATTTTTCTCCAATCATTACGAGTGTACTTGATAAGTTCTAGCCCATTTACTATCGGAGTCATGTCTTGTAAACTATCAAAGAAGGATTTCTTGACTTCTTTGTTACGTATATCTTACCATGCATGTCTTGTAATTTATAAGCTGGATCTTTACATTTTCTAGGGCTTGAAAATTTTATGCCCTCTAAAAGTTCGTTATATTAACTTCGTATTTCTTTTTTTTATGATAACAGTCGAGTATTATAATTTCAACGATATTGGCGGATTATTTTACTCAATAAAAATACCCATAACTTCATCTAATGTTCTAATTGTGACAGTAAGCGCTAATCCAAACTTGCTGCCTATTTTTGTGCAATTGACCAAATGGGTGTATCACAAAGTATAACTTACAAACTTCAAGTATGTCATTTTCAAATGCATTTTACAATAGACAGCACTCTTCAATCCAAATTATCCAATAATATCTTGTAAATGACAAGTTAACAACATATCTAGTTTTGTCCAAATAGTTACTGAATGGCTAATTGAGTTCAAACACTGTAGATACCTATAGAGCTATATATACGGTTACTAATTACAGAACTATAGGGTTGATGCGTATAAAATTATAGGGTGAAGATATATGTATAACAAACACAAATAATTAATTTTTACAGCCCTAAGAATATATTTTTGGGGTAACAGCAGCGAATGTTAATTACAAGAGCACTTTCAAGTGTGCATATACAGAAATAAAGAATCCGCGAGAATTCATTATAAACTATTTTTCTACAAACATCGACTTTTAAAAGTGCGAATCTTCCTCAGTTTACCATCCACATTAGGCCTGCAACCTACGACATTTTATAGACACGTTTTTCGGTGATGTTTTAAAAATATTTAGGTTTTACTTTTTGGCACTCGGAACAATTTAAACGAAAGCACACAATGTTAAGGCAAAATGTTTTCATGTTAATTTGATAAACACCGCCCCTTAAAAGGAAATAAAATCGTAAGAAGATCCGTGTTTTATCTCTTCGATCTGTATTTATCCCTACATCCGTGTTTTATCCCCCCATCCATGTTTTATCCCCTCATCCGTATCCGTGCCTTCCGAATCCGCGTTTTATCACTACCCGAAACATATTTGACTTGCTGGATATCTATAATTAATTTTTGCGAAACCTTTTGTAATATATTTACTTATAGTAGTAGCAGTATTACTCAGACTTTTTTACGTCTGAAAATACAACGTTATTGCTGTTCGTGCTAAGTGGGTGGTAATCCATTGTAGGAAAACCCCTGAAATAAGCGTAGTAATGGAACAAGAATAGGGAAACCTATGTCACTTGTGATTTGTGAACGTTTTACGGCCGCTATATTTGGTGGGGATGCCCAAAACACGAGTGATTCAAGTACGGGGATACCCAGAACACGAGGATACCCAGAACACGGGGATACCCAAAACACGAGGATACCCAGAACACGGGGATACCCAAAACACGGGGATACCCAGAACACGGGGATACCCAGAACACGGGGATACTTATATCACTGTGACAGTGGCATTAAGCTTTTTTCTCAAGTATTTATAAAGAACACAGGTCGTTCATTTTCTGAAAAGAATCGTTACTAAACAAATTTTAACAAAAAATCGCGCAAGAATATTTGCTTTCTCTGAGTAATAAGAATTTCTAGAAACACTTACCTGTTCAAACTGCCAAAATATTGTAGTTCCCTGTTGAAAACGCAAACTATGAAAGCGTCGAAAAATTTGAATGATCAAATCGAGAGGAAAATGTGTTTTTAAGAAGTATTTTTCATGTCACAAAAGCACAAACATTGCCAGTATAGTTCAGGGTTGTATTAATAAGAACAGATTCTCTCAAAAAAGAGATGTTCAAAATAGGCATTTTTACAGTAAAAATTACTTCTTAACTTACTTTCATCTTCCATTATCTGGAAGTCAACATTATCGCATCAATATAATACAGTAAGCTGTTTTGGTCTGTCCATCTATATTATTGTTAAAGAGATGGTTGTCTATGACGTATTTGTGTTCACTGCATTTACCATTTTCATTCCGCCACAAGTCCTGTAACGAACTACGCATGTCACTATAAGCAAAGCGAAATTCGTTCATGTGTTGTAAATGAAAATCCACCTATTATTAGGTCGTTTTTTACCAATGCTCGTAAAGCTACATGAAAAGAAAAGACGATAGTATCAGATTCCCATTGATTGAGAGCTATATTTTGTAGGGCAACACCAGAAGTGTAATTTTGTTTGTACATTTTTTTACCAAACTAATACAGCAACACTTGAACTTGAGAGAATTGTTTAAAATTTTAGTTAGATAAGAACTTAACAGTTAATTTGATGTACACATGCAAAATGCAATCTTGTTTCTGCACATCCACCTCATGCCAGTCAAGTTGACGGTTATACATTGTTAATTCAAATGATATTAGTTAAACTAAGGGACGGGGCGGGTGGCTGAATGGCTAATTGCGTGAGCTGTAAGCCAGACGGCGCGGGTTCAATCCCGGCTCGTGGCACATCTGGCAATGTGTCTGTAAACCTAGCCCGGGTTGACCAAAGCCATGTGAGGGAAATTTGGTAGAGGAAACTATGTCCTCGGATGGACTGTATCTGCATCTGCAATGTTGCAGCCTTGTCACACTGTGTCACGCTGATATCAGCATTGTAGTTGCGTGAAAGGTACGAGTGATTGTAGTCTGGTCAGCTGCCTTCACTATAATTTCAGTAACCAGGATGTTCCACTTTGTGGAACCCTCATACGATGAAATCGACGGAGTTCATTAGTTAAACTAACATGGCATGCATGTGAAGATCACAATTACTAGTTTATTGGTATAATCGTTTCAATTTTAAACAGAGCTGTCTGCATGCCTTGTCTTTTCGTTCTGCTATTGTAGCATCAATTCGCAGATAATTCCCTTATCAAGAAATGGTAGAAAGCTAAGACTAAGTGGATACTCTATATGTATATCAGTTTCTGCAGTGTCATGCTCTTCCAAATTTCTGTGTTAACAAAAAAAAAGCGTGTGGCACTTTTCATTATGCCATGTATTATATCAGAGCGCAATACCAAGCCACTAAAATGAACCAGATTTTAACTACGGATGCTGATGTCCACAGTTTTTTGTTCTAACAACACTTTTTGTGTATGATTGATGATTCGTGTCCTTTTACGTTTTAAAAAATGTTTCAGCCATATTTTTTTCTATGATGACACACAAGTATTTATGTCTATTTTAATATAATCAGTGCCATACTTCAAGGCATTGTGTATCGAACAAAGTTACTACTTGACGCCGTTAAATTCTTTTAGTTCAACTCTTACTGTACGTGCTGTGTCTATCCTTAATTGATATAGTGCAAATTCCTCTAGCGACACCATGTTTCAAGACGTTCATTACTAACATTTAAATAAGTACAACTTCATGTTTATTTGATGCAGTGAAATTCTTTTAGATGACTTCCGAGAGTACAATGTCCTAAAAGGTTGCGATTATGTACACTACGTATAACTGAATAATGAGTCCTTTGACAAAATAGACACTCTGACTCTCTCTTTTACCTAATGACATCTAAGACTAAGTACACATTGGAGAAGCCGTACGGGAGGGGAACCTTTTAGTTTTGATGCACAATATGTGTACATCACGTGGTAAAGCGATGTTCGAACTCGTTATCAGAATCGTCATCATCACTAGAGTCGATATCTCCGATATACGATTTTCGCCCCTTACAACAAGAAACCAGTAGTCCAATGAGAAATGCCTGAAAAGAAAGTTAATATAAAATGAAATTGTCTTCTGGGCTGTTTCATACAATCAGTGAAACTTATGAAAATTTACATGAGCATAAAATCATACATTATGACTTTATAACGTACCACAATGAACATCCATGTCCCCCAATAATCACACACACCAAAGAACCAAACTTTGTAGAAAAATCTCGACAACAGAACAGAGATACGACTCATTGTACAATGTTCTGGAAAACAATTTATGCAGAATTAATATTGTAACACAACTTCTAAGAGGTAGATCCAACCTTCCCACGGTATTTTCCCAGGTTGTGAATTACTAGGGTCTTTCTTTACAAAGTAGTGAACTACCAAGGTTATTTTCTCAGGTTCGTATATCCCAGGGTTACGTATGAGCTACCAGGGTTGATTTATTAAAGACACTGAAAACGTATGATCTTTAAAGAGGATCCAGGCTAAATAAATTACAACTGCTCAATTTTAGCTAACGTTATAGACCCATACTTATCGTGCGAGTTTGTTTGAGGAAAAGTTTGCCCTAGCATACGTCACATTTCTTCGCATAAATTATACTGCTTTATTCAAGCTCACATGAACGGCTTTCAAATTTCAACTCTCTTCTGATACGTAATCTATAAAATTTTTATCATTTTAGGTGAAAGGAACTTTACGACATAAAATACAAGCAAAATATACGAAAGACACGCTACCGAGCTGTAAGTTACTCATTTCGCTTTCCAATTCAATACTTGAGAATTAAAATTACAAAGTGTATTAACTTTGTATAAAGCAGTATAATTTATGCAACAACTAAAAACGATGTGACTTATACTAGGGCGAACTTTTCTTCAACATTGCATAGGCTTATAACCAGAAGTATGTGTCTATATATAAGTAACTCAATCGTATATATATTTAAATTTGAAAAATTCCTCACCATCCAACAATTTTAAAAATTGTATTGAAAAAATTACTTTCAATAACGTCAAATATGTAGAAACATAAATCGTGTCTGTAGCATGTTTCTTCATTTGAGTCAGTGATGGATTTCTGAGAAGGGTGTGGAGGGATGCGCTCCCCTAGAGGTAGCGTAGCCATGCGGCATGCAGAATTAATCCCGCTGTGTAAATTTTGAAGGATTACCGTAGTTCATTTTTTTAGAAATTAATTGTGCTCACAGTCAGTAAACACAAAAATATTTCCATAGCGGGAGTAACAAGTCGGTCTGGTTACGCTACAAACCCCTAGTATCCTAGGGGATGCAGGAGGGGTGCCGATTCCTCTACAAAATACTAATTTACGAAAAAATTGAAATACTGAAAGCAATTATGATAAGTCTTAAACGGAGCACACTTTCTTAAATACACCAGTCATGATAAAAAGGCAATAGAACGAAAGGTAACAAAAAAAAGCAGAAGTGATCCGGCAAGAAGTAGTCACCAAAATTCAATCCAAACTAGAACACTAATCAAAACAATTTGTAAGTATGATTTTCGTATATTGTTTTATTTTCGTATATTGTTTGGAGGCTCAAAGTTGGAAATTTTGGACATTTTTAATATTTGACCACCAGTAAAAAAGAACTGGCAACAAATGTACTTCGTAACGTCTCATCGGGAACTCGTCCATTGTAGTTTGATAAGAAATAGATTGCTTTTGACATCCACGACAGAACATGGCACACGTGTGTAATTCAAAAGAAAGGTTTTCCTTTGAAGGAAATTACGTAAAATATAGTTTTTTCGAAAATTGTGTTCCCAATATGACGTCGTATCGAAGAACTTACCCCAGTTTTCCAAGGTCACGGTCAAGTTAAAAATTACCAATTTTGAGCTACAGTTACTCTACAAGGTTCAAATTTGGAATTAGAAAAATATTCCAAATGAATTAAAAATCGTGTAATATATCAAAATTGCCCAATTTACAAGAACATACTTAATAAAGGCACTTTAAAGCAAAATTCGAACTATTTACTTTGAACATTTCAAAATTCGTTTGAAAGAATCGATAAGACATATTTTATTGAATGGAAATTTCTTAACAATAGTTATAAATGTAATATTATTGTAAAATTACCTTGCTATAAAGTATTTTAACAAACCCTGACACTGTCGCTATTACTTCAAATCGACATTATTAATCTGATATAGTGGAAAGTCACATACCATTGGACACTCGAGTGGAACAATCCTTGGTTATGAAGGTGTAGTTTTGGCTCCAGGTTGTATTGGCGAGAGAACTCGTGTTGCTCACATTGTGTACCTAGGTCATTATATACATGTTATTGCCAACAGTTTATGTCCCACTTTAGAGGTAAGTTTTTTAAATATTACAAACTTGAATAAAAGAAAAAAACTTACTAAACATTAACAGAAAGGAAAAAATTATAAAGCATAAAAGTTAACGTTGTATAATAATTTTTGTGCACAACTGCTGAACCTTGGTGTTGTGCAACAAATGAAGACAGGTCAAAACCATTGAACTAAATATAACTGGTAGTCTACCTCTTGCCAAATTTCATAAAGAGTATTTCAACTAGTCACAGACTTCCAACACACGACCCAAAGAAAGTTCACAATAAGAACAACCGAAATATGCGTGACTGAAGGAAAAACTTAGCTTCATGCAAGTGCAGGTATGCTTACCAACCAAAATGCAGCCTTCCAGTCGTATATTTAGTTAAAAAGTCAAAAACAAAAAACCTTTTCTTGATATTTTTGATTGCCATACATGACGTATTGAGGAGCTAGCGTCATGAGAACAACATTGACTGCCAGCACAACGTACATTAGTATAAAAACAAAGAAAAGCAACGCTTGGGGCATTGTCTTGTGTGGTTTTATCTTGTATAACTGATCAACTCGTTAAGAAAAAAACTGACCATGAGGTAAATGGAATTATTGTGAACCAAAATAATCGATGAAAAAGGTAATTAGTTGTGACCTACACCCCAGAAAACTTCGGCGATGTTCAATAACCCTTCAAAAAAACTTCACTACAACAACAATGCAGAAGGTAAAAAAATTGTTGAAAGTTCTGTTAGAGTTATAAGACCGATCCATTAAAAGTAAATACAAAAGGATACTTTGATGCAGAAGAAACGAATTCCGATTTTCCTCATTCCGACCATTGTACAATACACAAAATAAAAAACGATGGCAAAAAACAGCAGATAATCAAGTGGAAACACCTGGAGACAGAGAGGAATCGACATCAGTCTTAGTGTTTGTATGTTAAATCTCCAGGCTTTTTTTCCATTACTTTCTGTGCATAAAGCATCACTTCATTGATTGGATTGACAAACTTTGGATCTGGTAGTGAGTATCCATATTTGTAGCCAAAGGAATGCAATGCTTTGTCGATGCTAAAAAAAACAAAAGTAACAAGTAAAGGTTATCTATTATTGATCTAATGTTACTAAAAAAAAAATAACAGGAGAAGCAAACAATTTTAAATAAAACAAAATAAAACAGACTCCGAAAACAGACATCTCGTTTTCATCATACTCAAGATGATACAAGAGTTTTAGACGAAATATTACGCAATCTGTGGTCCAAAACTTTTGTATCATTTTGAATATCAAGAAAACGAGATGTCTGTTTTCGGAATCTGTTTTATTTTGTTGTACAGAAGAAGCATAAACTAAAGTACGTAACTTTATTTATACTAAATATCTCTTTCAGTTCCAAACAGTTCTTGCTAAAGATCATCTGTTATTTATCCAGTGTTACTACAGAAGGAAACCTAAACTAAACTAATTCATTAATTCTAGAACCACTGGTTGTGGTTATGTCATGTTATCCTATAACAATTCCTTCAGAAATTCGTACCTAGTAATCACCAATGAAACAACAATTAATAAGGCCAAAAAGAAACTGATTATTCCAAAAACGATATGAAATGGTCGACATAGTACAAAACAGTTCTTGCAACATTTGTCATCGGCCTTTTCCAAGCGACTCTGCCTCCTGCTTAGCAGCCTCTCCTCGTCTTCAAGCTTCGTCAACCTGGAGCGATGACGTGAAGGCACGCGTCGTTTTCCAAAATACTTGTCCGTCAGTAAAGTAATCTGCGACTGGAGATTCTCTCGTTTCGCATCCAAAGTGTATCTTTCATCCTAGAGAAAAACAATATAAACAGGGTGCGGTGTAAGTACATCTTTCATCCTAGAAGAGAGTGATAGATGTGTTTAAAGCTGAAGACAGCGGGAAGGTGTAAAAATTATAGACACAAATTATACAAAAGGAGACAAAGGGAGACAAAAATTATAGATTGTGATCTATAGACATTATAGATCACAATCGCATGTGATCAATAGCATTTGTAACTGGCGAAAATGTTGACGATAAAAGTATTTAACGAAACGCAACAAAATCAAGATTAATTTCACTAACTAAATAAAAGAGTACGTATTTGCTGACCTTGATACTTCTGTAGCCTTTAATGAGCTCCAAAGGAAATGCTGACATACCAAAAGCCTGGGAACGAAAAGATGAAATGAATGAGAGCACAAACTTTCCACAAAAGTCGAAAGACTCATTCAAAAAATTTAAAATGTTTTTGTTAAAGTGCATATAAACCTTACGTGGTTTTTATACTATCCAATGTAAGTGGTGTCAAAGGCCATATTCCAAAATTTCGCTTAAATGAGACAAATAGTTTGCGCTGTAAAGTCCGTCAAATTTGCGAAAATACACCATTTTAAGCGCCCGGTTTTACCGCTAAGTGACTGGGCCTGCGCGTCCAGCTGATGTCATGTAAGTAACACGTGTCTCAATTGTCGTAAAAAGACATATGAAAGTATAGCAAGCTGTTGTCATATAAGGCTACGGTGGCCCACAGCAGCAATGCAGATATATAAATTAGGAATAGAAATCAAAGTATTTTGCATGAAATGTTTTCATTATTCATCATATATATTAGTGGAGCAGCAAATATATATTCATTGAGCAGATATCTCTATCTTTCGTACGCAGATATATTTATAAAGTGCGCAGATATATATTTTCAGTGCGCAGATATAAATCATTCTTTCAGTGCGGACATATATTTATGGCAAGCAGACAAGCAGAGACATATTTTCACTCCGCAAGTATATATTCATAGTGTGAATTGTAAATATATACAAAAAAATGTAGAAACGTTTCAGCAACAAAGGAGAAACTGCGAGAAAATTTGCATTAAAGTTACAAAATATTGCCAATATGGTTGACATTCCTTCGCATAATTCTGATACAAACAATGTAGAAAACGAGCGAACTCTGATTGAATATTTTTTTACTAGAGTATTCGAATATACGAGCATAGTTAACTTCATGTCAAAAAAACCCACGGAGTTCAAATGTCGGAACGCACGTTACGAAACCGTTTTAAAGAGTACGGTTTACGTAGACGATTGCCAGAGTTTAATATAAATGAAATTCGCCGAGTCATTCAAGAAAAATTGAACGGTCCTGGTAATTTGGGATTTTAGTGTTGGATGTGGCATGCAATCAGAACAGAAGGACATCAAGTTCCAAAAAGTGTTGTTGAAGAGTTGTTGAGAGAGCTTGATCCCGTTGGTAGCGAAACAAGACGTGCGAAGCGCTTGCGAAGGCGAACATATCGAGTTCCAGGTCCTAACGTCTGTTGGCATACAGACGGCTACGATAAACTAAAGCCGTACGGTTTTCCGATACACGGATGTATCGATGAAGTTGGAGATAATATGGTTGCGCGTTGCACAATCAAACAACAAACCGGAGATACCTGCATCGTTTTATCTTAAAAGCATATAGGAATATGGATGTCCTGTTAAGTTACGTAGTAACTGCGGAACTGAAAACGGGATTATGGCGGCTATTCAATGTGAGTTTCGCATAAGCGTCGATGCTCATTTGTTTGGTACCTCTCCAGCAAATCAGAGAATAGAGTATTGGTGACTATAATGCCCAATATCAACTATGTGTAGTATTTGCATATCACACTTAAACCCAAGAACTTGACTAGGCGCTATATTTTAATTTGCAAGACAAGCCAGCTTTGGTAGATTCTTTGTTCCCAGTCATTGCTGACCGAATCTTCTACGTATGGGGCACAAAAAGCGCCTGTTTATATGAGAGCCGGGATGGATTGAGTCCCGAAATAGGAGATGAATGAGACAATGGATTTTATAAAATTTCTATACTTAATTGTCAGTTGTTTGTATGGAACCGGGACGTTTCTAGTCTCGTGCCGCTTGGTCGGGATCGATTTTTTAACCGTGATCTTGGTCAACACGGGACAATTTTATGGTCATATAAATGGTAAAATTTTTCAATATCCAGTTACGAAATCTGTCAAAATCAAACGGATATAAATAATTGTATCAATGTTTTAACAAAATCACAACAAAATGTCGAACAAAACAACAGATGGCAGTCAAACTGTAAATTCTTATTGCAGTCAAATACAAAGAAACATATATGCAATGCTCAAAGCAAAATTTGTACTGTCGAAATTGAATACAAAGCCCACAAGATGAAGCACGGATGCCGGCTAACGACTAAGTCTTCGGAAAATCAAGGCTGAGGAGACGTGATATAATGGTTTCTCATCCTAAGTTAATTTTTATTTTAATGTAAAAACTCATATAAACGAGAGATCTATACAACCCGTCTTGGAAGACCCCGTCCGGCCTTCCTATATAAATAGGTAAATATTATGCGGCGAGCGTTTTCTGCAATCGAGACAAGTGTTGGACCTGAACACTACTGTCGAAGTCTATGTCATATATTTCATCTTCTGATGAATCCAATGATGAAGATGCCAACCTAGTTAAGGCCAATGTTTAAAAAAAGGACGCTATGGATAATTTACAGTAGACAGTTTGTCTTGAATTAAATAGAGCCGTGCGGACTGTATTCCTTACATGATGTCACGACATGCACTTGAGACCAGACCCCTTAGTGAAAAATATATACAGTAAATTTGGATTTTTAACAGCGATTTCCCAAGATAGATTTAATGTAAATCAAAGTATTTTTTTGAATTTGTTAATTTCATGAGTTGTTCTTTCAAACAAAACTAAAATCCTGTAAGGTTTATATGCACTTTAAACACGAAAAAAGAGACAAGCAAATTGATCGAGGTTTTAAATTTGGTGTAATGTAAAAACACATTTTAATGTCCTCTAAAGACTCAAAATGAAGATCAGTTAGTAAAGTCATCTCTTACTGTATACGTAATTATTGATAGAAGTCCAACAAACGTAAGAAAACCAATTGTAAAGGTCAAAGCTGTTTCTCCATCTGTAAATTAATAGAATAAGTAAGAAATCTTTTCAAACTACAAAATATGTTTAGTTTAATCTCTACAATTCTAAAATCAATAACATTTTCGTTTCTAACAAGACAGACATTCTAAAAGCTTCTTCATATTTATACTCACTGAGTGGGGATTCAAAATCACATCAAATTTTTATAATGACGGTAATTTCCAGCCATCCATAAAAATGTGTGTTTCCCAATCATCTGTGAGACAGCGAAAGCGCAATTTTTGTGTCCCAGTCAGAGAGTGAGAGTGAATAGTTTCAGAATACAAGCGAGAGATAAAGGAGTAAAAATAAAATTTTGCCGCAAAGAAAGGCCGCTGCGCATGCGTATTGTCTGGTATAAAGTCCAATTCGGTATTATTTACATTGCTTATACATTTTTCGCTTTACTCATACAGATTTACAGTACTCTGCTGGTGAATTTAATCAAACGCTGATAGGAAAATACTGTTATTTTCAGAAATATTAACTAAAAACATCACGGCCCAAAAATAGACTTGTATATAGTTGTACGATATTGCCTGTTGTCATCTATTCAAGCGGAACTAAACATGAGATCGATTTATGGGATGTAAAAACGAACAATTTTTCTTCACAAAACTTCATAATAAAATAATAAAGAAAAGTCAAGATCTTATTCAAATACTTGCTCACAAGCGACCACAAAAAAGAATTATATCTCGTTCTAGCGTCAGGTATTAGCAACTTGTACTTAGTAAGATGTACTGTCTGGTATATAAATAGTCGAATTCGGTATGATACATTGCTTATACATAGTTCGCTTTACTCATACAGACTCACAGTACACAGCTGGTGAAGTCAAACGCTGAAAGCAAATGAATCTATTTTGCTTTCGAATATTTTAAAAAAAAACTAATATTATTTCTATGGATTTACAATTTTACATCAAGTGAAATATGATACGTGTCAAACTATGACCAAGAAATACTAAAGACTTGCGAACATTTGCAATGCGCAACGCAAAGCGTTTACTCTCAAATGTAATCTAATACAAGTCATAAGCGTGTTGTGTTGATTTATCGTTTATAGGATTGACGTTTTCTGAACGATATCTTAGACACGTCAGAAAACTTCTTTGAAACAAAATTATAGCAAAAATGCTTTTCGGCGAAAAAAGCTTTTAAAAGTCGCGAGAAATCTAATTGACGTTATACTTTCCTTGACGCGAGGCATGAGCACAGTCACATGCAATCTGCGCTAGAGCGTTCAAAAAATGCATATAGGGTTAGACAATTAACTGGTCACATAACTAAAGAACATATTCAAATTTTAAACAAGTTTGACGTAAGTAATATTAAATATATAGTTTTATTAGAATAAGGCTCATATGATCCACTTCATTTAGTAATAATATACATGACAAGCTACCCAAATGTACGCATTGCGTACCTATTTTTATATTTTAATGGCTTTCACTTTTTTAAGACTGAAAAATATGATTCATAATAGGAGGGACGATAAAGTCAGGAAAATGTAAATAGAAGAAAACATACGAGATGCTTTGATTTCGTCTTTTAGGTAATTCATCTTATCATTCCAATCAGTAACATTCTTTGGAGGACTTTTGAGTGGAACAAAACTTCTATCAAATAAATTTTTACTTTTATTCTACATCTCCCTTGATGCTATCAAGAACCATTGAAATACTACTGCACAACCACTTAATAGCGGATCTAGGGTAAGTCAGCGCTTATTTCAAATTTCAAATACCATAGCAACAATCATAATGGTTGAAATATTTTTAAGAATATTTTGAACCCAAAATTTTACCAATAAAATTGATGAAGTATTTTGAATTTTTAATACAATTTTTTAATGCACAGAGTATTTTGATATATCATATACCCACCAATGCAATCACCCACTGTACTATCCGTGTACTACCCCTTTACAATCACTGTAGTACCACTGTGCTACCTGTTTACTGTCAGTGTACTACCAGTGTACTTCAATTGTACTACTGTTGACCATTTTCCTACCATTCTTGAATAAATGTTCAACATAAACAATTATCATTTACCCAACAAGTAGTATCACCGAAGCAGCAATGATGAAAATCATTGTGTATTTTACAGCGCCACAAAATCTCTGTAAAAAAAAGAAGTGGACTATGCAATCATGGTTTTTTGTCTAATTTGTGTAACATATATTCTGCTCAATTTTTTCCCTACATTACCGATAACGCAACTTAACAATCAAAAACATTACAAATATAACATACCGCTTTGCATGAAACATTGTCATCTTGTTCTTCAAAGTAGAAATACATAAACGGCAGGATAAGAAAAAGAAACAGAATCACAATAGAATAAAGACCTAAAATAATAGATGACAAAATCAATTGATATCAGCATTGAATACAATGACTTGTATAAATAAAAAATTGTTGTAATTTCAAGGAAATGATAAAATAATAGGCTAAAAAAGTTATAGGCAATATTCAACCTCAGAAATGAAAAAAACCCAATACTATGATAATGATAAAGTTTGACTCTAAAACAGTCTAAAATAAATGAGAAGCATGAAACTATTGCAAGGTGCCAATTAACATGGCACTAACTTGCCAAAACTGCGATACACAAAGATAAATGGCTTAATTAGATGAAATACATTTTAATTGCCAGGGTAATTGCCTTTATATACTCCAAAGATTTTCAAAAACATGCAAAGTGTATACCCTTACTAATAATAAACAGTTTCATCACAAATGGTTCAATAAACCACAAAAATAGCAAGAATTTAAAGAGGTTTATGTGTTGAACAAAGGGGGAAAAGCATCAAAAGGTCATAATAATTGTACCTTTACATCTCTTTGGTAGTCAATTAAAGCTAAATCATGCAAATGTTAAATATCTGCTCATTTCAAAGGTTGCAGTTTAGATATACCCTGTAGCAACAAATGAGTTTAGTACATTTTCATGCTTTCATTACATATTTCAACCATAATGTTGATTCTTTTTTGTGAAAAGCTTTTTTTAGTTATATGCAAGCCTTGTGTGAAACAAGACATTACTTTGCTAGAGGCTGATTAGAGGGACGTCATAATACTTCATAAATAAAATTGTGGATGCATACTTTCATCCTTAATTAGGACCCTGCTATTGTCAAGTAACCACAAATAAACACAGAGAAGGATTTACATGAGGTAACAAAGGTGGGGGTGAATCCCTCCAGATATTTAAGGTAAGAGGACATGCATGAGAATGTCAACTATCAAATGATAATATAAAATGATAATATACAAAGTAATTAATCAAAAGTAACTGTGATTTGAGTTTGATAGAGTCGTAAGTACACTTCCAAAAAAACAACCACCAATCATGGCTAGCCTAAGACATAGATTTATATCTGTCTTATGAGTCTAAAAAATATTTAAAGAAAGCTTGACTCTACATGTGTCACATCCATTTGACCTTCTGCATAAATTATGCTGCTTTTTTCAGGCTCAGAGGAGCTCAGCTTCCAACTCAGTTTTGAAATCATCCTTATAAACACTATATCATTTTCGGCATAAGAACTTTGACAACACAAAATATAATGCAATCATTTTTCAAATTAGTTGTACATAAATTTGAATTATAAAGTAAACTAGTTTTGAATGAAACAGTACAAATTATGCAATAATCAGCTTAAACAAATGTGATATATGCACTGCAAGTTTTCCTTTAGTATTGCATAGACCTTTAATCATAAGAAGTATAAATTTTAACATGTAGGATAAATCATGGCATAAGAGTAAGAGGTTTAACAAAATTAGTCTAACAAGACATGTAAAATTATGAATGACCATATTTCATTATAAAATACCATTTATACCTAAGTTTACATAAGCCTAAGTAAACCAATTTGAACTCTTAACAATTAAATCAGTCAAAGAGGATTTACATAACTGTTTCACATTATTGTTATTTTATAAAAGGAATAAAAGATTTTTTTCGTGTTTGCACAAGCTTATGCAAATCTCAGAGACATGGTGAGAACTCTCATGCACGTGCAAACATTCTATCTTTGGTCTCAGGTAGGCACTTATCTTCTCATGAGTTCTCCCTAAGGTCTCCTTGGTTTCAAAAGCCAGTGCAAAAGCAGTAAACATCTTTTATTTCATAAATACTAACCATAATATGCGTAACTGATGTTGTCTTCAAATGAGCTTCTATCTGTGACATTGGTTGCCCAAATCTGAAAATTTAGCACATTCTCACAGCTTATCATTTGCCAAGCTAGTAGAATTATACTAACCAAAATCTTCAACTGGGAATAAAGGAGTAAAATACAGCACATACAACAGAGGTTTACCTTAAAGGAGCCATTGGGATTCTTCATGTATGAAGCTAGAAAAATATCTATTGGTACCAGAGCTGATGTGATCAATGTTACACTGAAGGCAAGGATTGAAGTCAATGTTGTTGAAAGCTCAGACTGCAAACGATCTTGGTAATAACGTATATATATCCATGAAAAAATCAAGATTACCTACACCAAACATACGTATCAAAACATCATTGAGTTATTAAACAAGAAACATTCTTGTGATATATTGAACTTGCAGGAACGAGACTTCCTTCGAGGGAAAGTGCTATTTATTACACAATTTATTTGCATATGTAAGAAAAAATATGTTCCTAAAAAGATATGATCTTTATGAACTACAGTTAACGGTGATATTTCGACTTTCCTCCGAAGCCATTGCCAAACTTTCTATTTAAAAATATTATTCGTAAATTACTTACAAAAATCACAAAAGAAAATGGTATCCAGCCATGTATCAAAACCATATGCGGTATACCCATATTTTTCAAGGAGTTTAAACTGTTTAATGCAGTCAATCTAATAGTTTTGAGAAATTTTCGTTGATCTTTCCAAAATACAATCCTTGTAATAAAATAAAGATTTTGAATCGAAATTCGAAAGTTCTTATGCCGACCGGTGCTTAGTACCCACAATATCCAACCCATTGAGTTCTATAATAACTGGAGCACAGAATATATGCAACACAGAAGGCCACTCTTGTCGGGAGTGACCACAGAATGATCTGCAGCACCGTCAGAATGAACACAAAGATGGAAAGAAGCAGAATGGTGAAGGCATCAGCACCAAAAATCAACATCGAAGGACTGCTTCAGAAGAGGGAAGAATTTCAAATTGAATTAAGCAACCGTTTTGAAATTCTAGGAAACGAGATTGATGACGTTGAGGAAAGCGCCGCGCAACTAAGCGAACCATCCAGCGATGCGCAGAGAAGGTTGCAGGAAAAGTGATAAACAGGAAAGAGGAAAAGCTGAAGTCAGATACCAAAGCCTTGCTTAAGAAACGGAGAGAAATGAAAAGAGTGACAACAAGAGAAAAGATAGAATATTCAGAACTGTGCAAGACAATCAGGAAGAAAACAAGACAAAATCTGAGAGAAGCAAACACCAAGAGAATCAGAGAAGCAGTTGAAAGTGGCAAAGGGTTGAAAAAGAGCACAACAGGAGATGGAAAGAAGGCTCTGATTCAAGCACTGAAGGAGAAGGATGGAAAGGTAACAACAGACAGAAAAAGAATCCTCGAGAGATGTGCAGAATTCTATTAGGCACTGTACGAAGTTCCCTCCCAAAACATTCAGTTGAGACCAGCAGAAGAGACTCCAGTAATCATGAAATGTGAAGTGGAGAAGGCAATCCATCAGATGAAAAACGGAAAATCACCCGGTGAAGATCTTGTGGTAATAGAGATGATAAAGGCCGGAGGTGACATCCTAATGGAAAAACTTCAGCATCTTTACAACAAAGCCATTGAGACGGAAAAAGTGCCAAAAGAGTGGAAGAACGCCATCATTATTCTACTCTTCAAGAGGGGGGAGACAAGAAAGATCTTGCAAACTACCGCCCCATCAGTTTGTTATCCCACGTCTACAAGTTGTTCATGAAAATCATCAAGAACAGAATCAGTGGCACTCTGGATGAACATCAACCCCCAGAGCAAGCAGCATACAGGAAAGGATTCTCCACTGCAGACCACCTGCATGCTACAGGACAAATACTCGAGAAAACCAACGAGTACCAACAACCACTGTTCATGGCATTTGTACATTACGAAAAGGCATTCGATTCCATCAAGCATGCCCCAGTATTCCAATCACTTGCGAAACACGGAGTACCAGGAAAGATCATAAACAGCATAAAGGAAACATACAGAGAAGGCACAGCACAAATAAGAACAGAAAAGCTGAGCGAAAAGATCAAGATAAAGAAAGGTGTCCGCCAAGGAGATACACTGTCACCTATCATGTTCACTGCTGCCATTGAAGAGATCTTCAAAAGAATATCATTGGAAAAAGCCATCAACATCAACGGAAGAGTAATGAACAACTTAAGATTCGTAGATGACATCATCTTGTTTGCAAACAAAGAGGAAGATCTCCAAGAACTTTTGACGAAACTGAATGAAGAAGGAAAGAAAGATGGTATGAAAATGAATAAGAAAAAAACCAAGATCATTTTGCAATGACATCGCAAGGAGGAAGCAAAGAAGAGGGATCGCAGTTGACGGAGAGAAGTTGGAGGAGGTGGAGGAGTAGAAATACCTTGGAAAAATGTTAACACCAAGAAATGAAATCAGTGTTGAGGTCAATCAAAGAATCAATGTCGGATGGAGAAGATTCGGGCAATACAGTCACTTTCTAAAGGAGAAGAACATCCCAAACAGTTTGAAGAGGAAAATAATGGACACTGTCATTTTACCATCTATGACATACGGAGCAGAAACATGGGCGCTTACAAAACACCAATCAAGGAAGCTGGCAGTCACACAAAGGAGCATGGAGAGGAGCATACTAAATATCAGGCTAAAAGACAAGATCAGGAATGAAGTTATCAGAGAGAGAACCAGGGTGAAAGATGTCATCCAAACAGCAAAAGAAATGAAAGGCAGATGGGCAGGCCATGTGGCAAGAATGGAAAACAACAGATGGGCCAAATTGACAACAGAATGGTACCCAAGAAACTGCACCAGAGGAAGAGGAAAGCCAAAGAGAAGATGGAGAGACGAGATCCAAGAGGAAACTGGAAAGACCTGGATGAGGAGAGCTAAAGACCGAATCGAGTGGAAGAAGTTGTGGAGGCCATCTGCCAGCAGTGGCGTGAACGGCTGATGATGATGATGATGATGATGCATGCTGCTTCGCGCATCTCGGCCGCCTTCTTCCTAGCCAGTCAATTTCTGACAAACAATATAAGGATTGTAAAGAGAAGTAGAAATATTTGCCTGTATCTCTTCAATAAGGTCGTAGATTTGTTCCTAGCGAGAGTTTGACAAAATTTAAGGTATATTCTATATCGTTCTTTTTTTACAACCTAATTAAACGTGTTGTAAAGCTCGAAATCTTACATTTCGTTCTGTGACTGTGACCGCTCCTCAGCTTTGTAAACTGCAGTCAATAGAATTTTTCTTATTTTGCCTCGTTAATGACATTAAGTTTGAAATCTTGGCTGCCATGAAAAATCTTGAGATTAGATAGGAAGTGAATAGCTTGCTCATAAAAGTTGAGGTGTGGAGAGGTATTGGTCAATGCACATTTTAAAGACTTTTGTGAATGTAATGTTGAGACGTTCACAGAATCAAACAGAGAATCAAACTTCAAAAGGCATTCTGCAGTGCCTATAGCTGATGATGGCTGACATCCAACACTTACATATGTGCCTATGGATGCTGCTACTGTGTGGCTTAAGACTTGGGTAGCATATTTCACCTTCATCTTTGCAAAGTTGTTTGGTGCAATGTGCTTATCAGTCAGTTTATGTGCTGCTCTTATTGACAACTTTTTATCTTTATTGTAGAAATCCACAATATCCTGCCACTTGGCTGTGAACTGGTTGAAATTGAAAGTGTATTTCATCAAATTATTTCTAACACATTTGATCAGATGTGGTGGATTAAACATCAAATAAATCTTTCTTTGATTGTGCATAAACCAAGGACTCTCTGGACTGATGTTCAGGTGCTTAGCCAAACTTTGAAAATTGCTCCCCAAATCAGACATTACTACAACAACATTCAACCCAATTCCTTCAACTTTGTCAATTGCATCCTTCATCAGCTCTTCCATTTCTTTTGTAGGACATCCTCCATTTACCAATACATAAACAAGTGGTTGCTTCCATTTTCCCGAAATGCTTCTGAGCAAGAAGACAAGTGCTGAATTTGACAGTTTATTCGTTCTTGTGCCACTTCCATAATCTTCAAGGCCAATTATTTTGTCATTGGCTATATCATAGAATAAGTTGGTTTTGAGAGATATCTCGTCCATACACAAATTACATAATTTCTCATTTTCTCTCATATGGTCCACTTTATGGTCTTTACGATATTTAGTGCTCCCTGAGATATTCCAGTTGCAGCTGGCATCTTAGAGATGTATCTGCGCAATGATGTTTTGGAAGGAAGAATGACTAATTTCGAGAGCATAAGATAGGCTCTTCCACTAGCATGATACAAGGACACAGCAATGGACTTCATCTGTGGTGAGTATCGTCTCCCTTTCTTTTTTCTTTCACAAAGCTTAATTTGCATTTGCACAAAATGAGCAAGGTTTTTAGGCAGCTTTTCCAATGCTTTTTCCAAATTTTTATGTGTTGATGGATTTTTCTTTGCATGCGTAAAACGACTTATTTTCCTTGCCTGGGTTTTTATTAACTTTCGTTGTTTTTGTTTTCTAGGTGTATTGTTGGATTGTATAGCACTTGTTTGGCAAGAAAAATCTGAAGTTTGGCTTTCTGTACTAGGCCCACTTTCATTAACTTCGTGCATCAACTGGTGGCTCTAAACATAAACTTAAGAGTAATAACTAATTCAAAGTGGTGACCAAAAGCTTGAGATGGAAAATAAAATGCAAAATGAATAACTTTAGCTATAATTACATCTCACCAATACTAATGGTCAAGAATTAGAACTGAAATAGTTTCCCATGTATTTTTGGACTCAACAATGAAATCATACAATAGAACTTCTCATACCATCTTTCCTTTTTTCCTGATCTTTATCCATTTTAGATTTTTTGGCTGTAAAATAAATTTGTTAAAATTTGTCTAATTTCATCGTGAAACTAGGTTTGGTGTTTGCCTTGTTTATGTGATTGGTCCACTCTTTTAATTGTTTTCCGTTTTGTGCCAACAGTGGGGGGTGCATTTGGAATGCTAAATAGAGTGGGTTTTGCATCAGTCTTTAATCGATTTTTCAAATCATTTGCAAACATCATATCTTCAAAATGATCAGTGCATAATCGACAATTTTTGTAAAGGTAGTTTGCATCCTTGTTCATAAGATCCTCTCTGCTGAGAATCACCCATTCCTTTGATCTGGAAAGACAAATGACTAGGGTATGAAAAGGTTGTTTTATTTGATTTCTAGCAGCAAAATTTGATTTGTGTTTGAAATTTCACCTTTTGGGATCTCTTGGAAATCTAAAAAAACTTAGATGTGGATGTGAATGACTACCGTGAAATTGGCACCACATTGGCCACCACATTCAACACAACGCTCATCACAACGGTGAAGGCTATTTCAGATATGGTAGAGCACCTTGTGCCCGGGCCCTTTAGCTTTAACTTGTCTACTTAAAGCTATTAATAATTAATTTTCAGCATATTTACATATTACATCGCGCTTACTCTTTCGCAACATGGAAGATTATACTTTATCTGATTTACATATTCCAAAAATTGACAATATTGTCAACGAAGAAAATCCTTTTTTCGGTTATGTAAGTTCTTTGGAAAAGCGCTTGAGCTCGTGAGGGATTTTGAAAACGCGACCACGACAAAATTCACAGTCTTCACGAAAACAAAGAGCTTTGGAGCCACCGGTAAAATGCGTTTTGAGCGCGAATATTTGAAATACTCTACCGTGATGATGCAATCATCACACATTAATAAGTATTTATTTTAGTAGAATGTCGAATACATTTGTTGAACCAAGTATAAATCAATAAAATCAGTAGGTTTAAAATGTAATGTTTATCTGCAGCTAAGTATTTACGGAAGTTGTTAGGATTCATCTTGTGCATTTCCTGCTGTATAATATCAATATAATAATCGTACATGGTCATGGCCTGTTTTAATTTATTAAAAGTGCACCTTGTTAACGAAATTAAAATCTCCTCATCTTCACGTAACATATTATATTGCTTCGCTGTATGTTAACATAATCTATGAAAACTACTGTTACAATGGTTTTTGTGCGTTAGACCAAAATGACCTAAAACCACACCGTATTTGGTGGGAATCTAAATCCGGTACTGAAAAGCCCATCCCTTTTGATGGAGTACCGTTCTATTTGGTTGGAACGAATGTCTTGGAATGCCAACACGGTGTAGACAGAAACGTTTATCAGAAAAAAAAACATGAATCAAATCTCCTGGTAATTATTCTAGATGACACCACTACTCTTCATAAATTCTTTAGGTAATGAAAGTAAATTGGACTTAAAAATTAAAGTTTTACTCATATTACAGGGCGACCGTGGAGATCATACTATAAAACAGAGACGTTTCTGGAAGCAAGATAGTAAAAAACTTGATTGCACAGCCATCATACAAATGAAAGAAGTAATAAAGTTTCCAGAATACAAGGTATATTACTAATAAAAAAGAAAATTGCTTATACTGTGGCTTTATTTTTGTTCATAGTAAATCGACAAGTATACACATGTTAAATTGGTTTTTTCTAAAAGATTAGAGTGCAATATTTTTAGGTGCCACATGACGCTAAAAGAAGAAACGTGACACGACCTCTGCTGATTTGCGAGCCCATTTAATAAACCCCAGCTCCTCAGTAAAACTGAACGCAGAATCTATATTTCATTTCCGCGGCCAGAAGATCACACCACGCACAGACTTGGAATGGTATATGCTCTTGTTTGACATGCTCGTCTTGCAATCTGTAGACAAGAACATCACAATCATTTGTGGCATCTGCATGATAAAATTCATGACACTAACTAGTTTTGCCTTTGCTATTTCAGCACAGCGGAATGACACAACGACTAGATGAAAAGGTTATTAGAAAGATAGAAGAACTTGTCAGTGAAGGAGTGCGAACTGTTCATGAGATGAAACGTCATTTGAAAATATACATAAAGGATGAGCTTTTCGAGGAAAAGAACAACCTCTGCGTGACAATCGACGATACTTTCCCAGAGCTAAAACAATAAAAAATCACATGTACAACGCGGCAATGAGAGCCAGGCTTTCATTTATGGACCAAGACAACGTCACTCGACTGGTTGAAAAATGGAAATGCGAAAAGGCTTCGAGCAACGATAGATTTTATTTCCGTCCATACGTTGAAGGAAGCGGTGAATTCAAAATACAGACTTACAAAATGAAGAAGACAGCGATGACGACATAAGTTTAAATGAAGAGGTTATGACGACTGCAAAGGAGCAAAAAGGGCGACTTTTGTTTATACACCAAACGGCTTGGCAATCAAGGTTACTTTGTCGTTATGGTCAGGAACTAGCTTTCCTAGATGCCACATACAAAACCACAAAGTATTCCTTGCCATTATTTTTTGTTGCTGTGAAGACTAATGTTGATTATGCTATCGTTTCATCCTTTGTAATACAAGATGAAACAACAGCTAGTATAACAGAAGCTCTCAGTATTTTACATCAATGGAATCCACGATGGAACCCACAGCATATGATGACCGATCTTTGTGAAGAAGAAATAAAATCAATTGAGTTTGTTTTTCCAGGTATGAGGCACGAGCTGCAAGAGGTTTTGACCAAAACATCTGGCATTCTTTATTGCACTAAATCAACCATGTAACACCTAAATAATAAAAGCAATGAACAGCAATTCACAAGTTATATTTCTTCCATCGCTAATCAAATATAATAATAATATTAGAAAACTTTGGACATGGGAAGGGAAGAAAGGGTTGATCAATTTCTACATGCAGATTATTTTATTTTACGATATATATGTAATCGTGTTGACAAAGTTAAACATCCTTTTAAAAAGTTCTATATACCATGGCTACGTAGCTCTGCAATTCATCATGGAGTGTAACATGTGGGTATATTTTCAGACTGCAAAGTGCTGCTTTGCGATTTTCATCGAGAGCAAGCATGGGAACGTTGGACATCTAAAAAAGATAATGGAATCGCAGACAACCGTGAATTTATATTGGCTTTGATGAGACAATTGGCACGGGCAAGAACTGAGGATGCATACGAAAATGCCCTGCAAAAAGTTAAAGACACTAGCGAGTGGAAGACCAATAACAGCTTTAAAAGGTGGCTGGAAAACACGTGGATAAGACACAAAAGGTAAAAAAGAATACAGACTTAGCAATTGCACGGCCGCAAAATGTACTGCACAAATAACTACCACAAGCGTTTACACGAAAAGTGGAAAAGTACGTTTCATTGTACTTTCCTTCTTCGTCAGGTCAATACAAGTAAAACCTACAACCATTTTTATACTTTATTGATATTTAACTTTACAGAGATGGGTATGGGCATTCAGAAAAGAGCGTCTGCTTGTTTATGTTAGCACAAACAATGGGTTGGAAAGACAAAATGGGGCTTTCAAACACCAGTATTTACTGACTTTACGAAAGTATTCTCTCAGCGCAATGTTAACAATTCTTGTAAATGAATTTCTTCCTGACAAATACGAAAGGTAAGTCTGGCATTCAATTAATAGATGATCTAAAGCGACACAGTTTTTCTTTCTGAATGAGAGGCAGATCCTGGCTAGCTTACGTATATTATTTATATTAAAGCCGAGAGTAAACCGTAAAGTGAAGTTGCATGAATCTCATGCATACTGGTTTTAAAACCAAAATTTTTGTATTAAATTTGTGTGCTTGCACCAAAAAGTTGTATGTTATATTTTTTATTTCAGCTACATCAACGAAAATACAAAATGCTCCACAGCATATAAGCGTTATAACAAACAGATTCCAGAATTTCTGCATAATCGTCCTAACTACCTTATCGACCATTGCATGAAACGTCTTGTTTATGCTGAAGATGTACGTTCAATCTCTTTGGTGGATGACTCTATGGGTGCATTTTTAGTAACCAGTGAAATGGGAAAGCACAACTATCATGTATATTTTAGGGCACCTCATGACACAGAAATACCTTGCTGCGAGTGTCTTGACTGGCAACGAAACTATTTACCATGCAAGCACTTATTAGCGATTATTCAAAATAAAAAATTTACAAGTTGGGGATGGAAAAACCTACCAACAGCATATAAAGATTCTCCATTTCTGACCTTAGATGTCGATATATTGTTCAAACCAATTGATTATATTTTGAAAAGAGTTGACGATGCTCAGCAAGTTTGTGGTGCAGAAAGTTTTCATGACCAAGAAAAAGAAACAGAAGAAGCTGACATAAAACAAACTATGACAGCTGTTCTACCTAAACCAGTGTTCCCAAAACGGACAGCTATTACTAGGTGTTGTGATCTGTTATCTAGAATAAAGAGTTTGGTCCACGAGTGTACTAATTCAACTTCACTAGCCAGCCTGGAAAAGAGTCTTCAGTCTGCACTTCAGGAATTTGAGAATAACAGCAATACTGATTCAGGACTAGCACTTACAGCTCCTGACGCCGGGAAAACGTCAATGAAACGTAAAAAAAGAACATCAAATATCAGCAAGTCAACAACCAGCAATCCTAAAAGAAAGCCAGATTATCTAATCTACCATCTGCAAAATTAAAGAAGATACACCCATACAATAGAAGAGTTGGCCAACATGCTGCAATGATGAGAAAATTCTATAATAAAGACTTATCTCTAGAGAAAATGGAAACGCAATCATCCAGCAAAGATACACAAACAATTCCTTTCATGCCAACTCCTCACACAGGTTTCACACCTCTCATTACAGAATCTTCATCAATCACCGCAAAACTATTAAGGAATGGACCACATTCTGTATCTCTGCTAGAAATTAAATCATTAGAGCCATTTTTGCACAGAGAAACACAGATTTTACTTAGTAGCATGAGTGAAAAACCTTTCATACCTGGCTGGTTGTATGATGAAGTAATCAATTCATTTTTCTGGTGTCTACAGGAAGATCATGAACATGTTCTTTATGCAGCATCCACATCAATGCTTTCCTTGCAAAATGGTGGTCAGGGAGGAAGACTTTGGTCTGAAAAGAGCAATGAAAAAAATCTCATTATAGCACCTTGGAACCCAACTCACTGTCACTGGACATTGATTGCCATAGATCTGCAACAGAGAAATATTTTTTATGTTGATCCATTGAATGCAGCTGATGATATTAAAAACAAGGCACAGATGCAGATTATAGCAAAATTCATCCCTTTAATTATTGAAAACAAATTTGGTCTGTCAGAATTTCAGATCTCCTCACCGCCATACTCTTCAACAAGATACTTCAAGTTGTGGTGTTTTTGTTTGCTGGTATGCATCACAGTTTGTGCAAGGAAAGTCAATGAGTGATGGCTGTGATCCATATAAGATGAGGGTTAGAATTTACAACAAAATAAGAGGAACTTGTCTAAAACAACACTCACAACAGCCAGAACTTTCCAAATGCCCACTATGTGGAGCACCTGTTTTGAAGAAAACTTAAAATGTATCTGTGCTGTCAATCCTACCACATATTATGTATTGACTCTGAAAATCATCCTACAACAAGGAATCCTCACTTTTATTGCCCACCATAAACTGAAAGGACTCTTCCTAAAATAAATGACAGGTGATTGGAAATGGAGAAAAACATGCAAATAGAGAGTAAAAATTATATGCCCCAAGTGGCCCTCATGTCAATTTTGATGTTTTGACACAAAATTACTAATAGGGTAATGATTGTCTAGGTAAAGTTAACACACAACAACCATTCCCATAAAACAGTCTAAAGGATGGGCATGTGTAAATACATCCACCAAAACCAATCATCACCCATTGCCTATGTAATTAGTAATACTAGTTTGTGTATCATATACATATGTATAGCATACTCCAAGTAATATGGCGATTGCTTCAACACCTAAACCAATGTATAGCCTATATAATAACAAACTTAGCTTGTGCTTTACACGTTTCCAGTGCAGTATTTGTTGTCTTATATTTTAACTGTGTTGCATTTGCACTGTAATTACTTCTTGTGTAATGAATTGGGCGAAAATATCATCATCAAGAATGTTTGAATTTAATACTAACATAACACAATTGAAAATTGAGTATTTACTACCATTTATCGTTGATAGAAATGTGCTAAAAACCGTCGCTGCAATAATTCGCACAGTGCAAGTACAGCACTACAAATTACAAAATATCGGTAAATAAATTAAAAGTATACAATACTTGCTCACCTAGTCACCTTAGTCATCTTTATCTTTGAAATGATGTTTGAATAAAACCCGCTATTATTTAAGATATTTCACTATCCCACTATCTTCTGTAAAGCGACTAAAGTATAAAACGCCATGGCAAGTTGCAAGCACGTAAGAAATAGGAATGTTATTATGATAAGGAGGGAGAATATCATTTACTCACGTGCGTGTCAGGAAAAGAAGGGCCTGGGCACAAGGTGCTCTACCATATCTGAAATAGCCTTCACCCATCACAACATTCATCACCTCATTCAACTAAAACCTATCATTCAAAATGATAAATCGAAAAATCGTCTTTAAAACACGTTTTCCATCAAATACAACAGTAAAAAACAATTCTTAACTGTTTATTACTATTTTACTGTCCTTAACCATCATAAAGATAGTATAAAAGTCAAAAAATTGAAGAAAACACTAAACTTTAGATTACAGTGTACTTTTCATTTCCCTTAATTAGCGTATAATTTAAAAACTACACGGTAGAATTTTTTTAAACTTGGCCATATTGTAAATATTCTTATTGTCTATAACATATCCAAAATCTGGAGAGTGCACAAAAAAATAAGTTGTAGAAAGTTATCGACATAGTTAGGTGACACGAATGCGCGTAATATGATCTTATGTAATTAAAGTAAGAATTTCAAGTCACTGCTAAACAAAGGCCTGTAAATAAAAAACTACACGGTAGAATTTTTTTAAACTTGGCCATATTGTAAATATTCTTATTGTCTATAATATATCCAAAATCTGGAGAGTGCACAAAAATATAAAAGGAATAATATTCCTTGAGAATGTACTCTGGTATAAACTGTGAAGTTGGCACCACATTCGACAAACAGCTCTATAGCTAAGAAACTACACCGTAGAATTTTGTTAAACTCAAGTGTATTATATATTGTATTATAAGTTTTTAAAAAGGTAGTTTAATATTACAGGCCTTTGTTTTTGACTTGAAATTCTTAACTTAAATCATTATTCATGTCATTAACTATGATGACTTTCTACAACTTATTTTTGTCTTCAGATTTTGAAATGTTATAGAATAATAATATTTACAATATGGCCCAGTTAAAAAATTTTACCGTGTAGTTTTTTTACAGGCCTTTGTTTAGCAATGGCTTGAAATTCTCAACAATTATATAAGATTTATGTCATCAATTATGTCGATGACTTTCTACAACTTATTTTTGTGCACTCTCCAGATTTTGGATATGTTATAGACAATAAGAATATTTACAATATGGCCAAGTTTTAAATTGTAAATGTACAGTTTTTAAATTATACGCTAATAAAGGGAAATGAAAAGAACACTGTAAACTAAAGTTTAGTGGTTTCTTCAATTTTTGACTTTTTTTGTGATTTAAGGACAGTAAAATATTGTAAACAATTAATTGAAAATGTTGTTTTGACATGTTTGACCAATTGATCTTAATTTAAGTAGAATTTTAAATGAATTGGTGAATTTGAATGTTGTGATTGTATTGAATGTGGTGCCAATTTCACGGTAGTAAATTGTTGCTTGTTGAAATTGGTATTTAATGAACTCCCTTTAAACTCAAGGAGAATTTGATGTTCTACAAGTTGAGACTACTTACAGACTTTGGAAATGACTTGGTCAGATCTGATGTGGGCGTACCCAAAATCTTGTCAATGTCGTAAGCATGTTTTTGATGATCAGGCTAAAATGTCAAGATCAAGATTTGATCCTTAAAAATTGTCTGAGTTTTGATGGGGTCAAGTGAAGGAGCAGTTGATCTTGGTGGGCCGACCAGAGAGTTTCTTCGCCTAGCAATTGAAGAAGCTTTCTCATCTAGATTTTGTAGAGGTATCTTCTGGCAAAGTTATTGTTGTTAATCAAGAAGGTAAATTATATTACTCTGACTAAGAAGTGATAGTTTTCAAATATTTTTGTGCCATTTATTAAGTATATAAACAGCAGAATTGCTTTTATCACAGCTAAGCGAAAAATTTACATATCCATATTGACGACTTCTGGCCATCTCTTTGTGATGAAATTGTGGTGGTGCTGGACGTTGTTGCTTTGAAATTGGTATTTAATGAACTTTGACTACATTGAAGGAAATGTCTAACTGTTGAGATACTACTCACAGCATGTTGGACTTGAAATGATTGGTAGCCATCTGAACCCAAGAATCTTATCAAGTTACTTTTGATGATGGTTAGTCAAGATCAAGATTTGATCCTTCAATGCCTGTCTGTAAAGTGTACGTGTTGAAGGATGCATAAGTGCAGGGCCGACCAGAGAGGCCTAGCAATTGAAGAAGCTTTCTCACGTTGTTTCTAATATTGTTGTTAATCAAGAAGGTAAATTATATATCTGACTAAGAAGTGATAGTTTTCAAATATTCCTGTGCCATTTATTAAGATAATGTGCTGTGATCACAGCTAAGCTTTAATTACATATTGGACGACTGATTTGTGCCATGGACGTTGTCTTTCTCCTTGCATTTTGACTACATTGTTGGCTGTGCTATCATGGAATAACACTTGTAGAAGTAAGCATATTTATATCACCTGCCTCGTTAAATAAGTGCAGGACTGATGAAGGTCACCTGTTACGTTTTTCTAATTCAACTCCAAGCAGTGCCATCGATAAGTTCAAATAGAAGGTTTGCTTTGACCAAGCTGGGTATCATGGACTACCAGAGAATTTGCAATGAAAGAGCGACTCGTTAAAGAACTGAGTTATTACTTTGTTGTCCAGTTCAAAGAAGGTTTATGTACGTTAGATGTTTTGGCCCTTCTTAAGCAGCAACCCTCTCTTTTTCGTCAGTACTTCTATCACTTGCCAATGTCATTAACGGCCCTAACCATTGACAACATCTTTCTCCCCAATTATTCGGAAGAGGGCTGCAGGATGCGAGATAGAGAGGAGTTAGTAATGATGCATTGGCGTGATTACCTGCAGGACTGTGAAGGTACGTATATCGTATTATGGTATAGTACATTGCACTTTCACTTGCACAATAAGAATGCATATTTCATTTCATTTTTGTACAGAATCTACGAAAGAACATTCAGCATCATATTCAGTCACCTTGCCTGAGATTTTGATATTTGCAACGGGGTCAAAAGAGATTCCACCTCTGGGATTTCGACCAAAACCACAAATCTATTTTTGGGATGAAGCTCGCCCAAGAAGTAATACATGCGCGAATATTTTGTACCTTCCACTTCATTTACAAAAAGATGATTTAAGCTATGATTTATTCAAAAAATTCATGGATTTTAGCATCCTGAATTCTCCAACATTTGGATTGGCTTAATAGTAAAACCATATTACCTGCAATGTAAGTATTTTTGCTTTTTTGTAGGAGTTATGTTTGCACTATTTTAGTTATTTTAAATTTTGTCAATATTGAACGATATAATTAGATGAGTACTTGCAATATTATCCAGAAACACATGTAATTTAGAGATTTATTTGAGTTTCTGGCGTCCTTAAAAGCTTCGAGACGTTTGCTTGGCGATTTTACGTGTGAAGCCTCCGCTTTCAAAGATCATACACTTTTTACAATCGTCGGAAATATATTTGTACGAATCGTGCATTTGTTAATTGAAACAAGTCATAAGAGTATTGTTCTAGTCAAACAACCTTTTTAAAACAAGTTTATAACGATACGGTATCTAAAACTCGGTTTCTATACAATCGTCGAATCGTCATTCGTGAGAAAAAACTCGATTTTCTAATTAGGCACACTTGATAAGCTGTCAAACAATTTTGAATACCCGTGATTTCTATATGATCGCCAATCGTCAAAACACTCAAAAAAGCATGGGTACTAGACAAAATTTGCGCGCACTTATATAGCGGGACCAAAAAAAAATAGGCAATTTACTTCTAAGACACAACAAATATATATATATTGATCTTATAGCATGTACGCGCCAGTTGGTTATATTGCTTAAAAAATCTGTATAATCTAAAAGCTTCAACAAAATGTTTTGAGCTGCTCTTGAGCTTTTAAGCATAAACGTCAGTCATAAATCATTGAAGGATGTCCGTTACAAGAGCAACCTTCGATGATTGATGCTTATTTGTTAGAAAAATTAGAAATGCAATGCATATTTTGGATTTAGTTTAGTATCAATTCATTATATGAATAATTTTATCAGGAATGTTTATCGACGATCAACATTCCTGATCGTATAACCATGTTTCCATTTAATCGCTTCACCAAAAATAGATATTTTTTCGAAGATTATATGGAAACAGAGCTTAAGGCAAAATGTTGAGGGCGGCACTTGTAAGATTAAAGCACAGTCACGTGATATGGATAGACATGCAATCTAGTAATGGTGTTCAGTTTGAATTTCATGCAAGTTTTGTTTCAATATTAACTTTACAATTTTTTAATTAGTTTTTTCTACTTATGTCCATAACTTTCACAGGCTACACACACGTACGCAATGCGTACAAATTTTTAAATAATGTTAGAGCAAAACCTACATCATTTTCTCTGCTACAAAGGTAACTAAATCTCTATAAGCATCCATTGCATTTTGACCATTTAGTGACAAGACAAAGTCACATACAGACTGGTCATTTCCCGATGGATTTGGGGTGTCTGGAACACAAACATGTGGCAAATCACTTGTTGAAAGCTCTTCAATGCCTGGCTGGTTTGGATGCTGGGGTAAGGCTCCTTCGTACGTATGTGCAAGCCCTATATTGCACCAGAATAGTTGCTCAGGTGTTCGGTTATTTTCAATGGAAATTTTATGTCTGTTGTGTGCTGCAACGAATTCTTCAATGGCATTATTAATGCGAGAAATGTAAATACAATGAAGACAAAAGATGTCAGTATCATTATTTACATCAAGAGCGCCTTCACTTTCAAGACCATAAAACTGTTGTCGAAACGTAGACAACACTTGCTCATTGAGAGCACGGTTGTGTCGTTCTATGCGTTGATTGTGGACAGACTTACCGACTAGCACCGGAATGCTGGCTTTCCCTCTAAATGCTGTCATATCATGCCAAATGTCAACGTTCTCTCCACCAAGATTTGTGCGGACTTTTGCAGGACGTACATATTTTGATATAGACTGAACAAAATGGCTATGTGCAGTTTCCGCCCGATTATTTGAGCTACATTTTGCAAAAATAACCATGCGGCT